TATATATTAAAAGGACTGTTTTATTTGTGTGCTTTTAACCTTGAGGACCCACAAGGCTGAGTGCTGCTCAGGTAAAAAGGAGTGGTGACCCAGGGGGCCCAGGCTTGGGTTTCTGACACTATACAATGTAATTAGTCCTTTGATTTCTTTTCTTAGTTCTGTAAAATCCTATAGTGTTTTCCAATGTGCTTTTGCTCTAGTGAACTGAGATTGTACTTTAGCAAATAAAGGTCTTTTACTTTTAAAGATCTCCAACTGTGGTCACAGTTCTTACCAGTGCACCCGACTGCTCATCCACGTGATAGATCAGAAACTCCTAACTGGGCTACAGATAGTTAGCTGGCCAAGAAGGGGGACGAGTTGTAGCTGTATACATACATGCATGCACATCGCCCCCTCAAGCGACAGATAGAAAGAGGAAGGGCACGGCTTGGGTGTTCATGACAACCAGAGAAAAGAGATTGAGAAGGGAGAGACCTGGAAACAGAAGAAGAAGCCCTCCCTAAAGCATGCAGATTCCCCTCTGCCTCTTGGGCTAAGATAGCAGGAAGAAAGGGGTTCCCTACATTGAGGGATTAAAGCAGTTTTGTCAGAAAAGACCTCTGATTTTCTGATTTTCAGCTACCTTGCTATTCATGTGAATATTCCACTGAGGCCAAAACAGATGTGATCTAGTCTTCTGACTTTCTTTAATGTAAGAGCAACTTCTATATGACTTTGATTGGAGCAGTGATGGGGGGGTGAGATAGCGATTAACCCTTTCTACCAGTGTTATTCTGATCTAAAGTACTCGCTGATCTATATCAGCTATAAACCTGGCAGTGGGAAAAAATGGATACCTATTATTTTTCCCTTCTAGATCAAATCAACCTTGAACTTTTCCTAGAAGCTAACATGACTCAGCAGAAGCCATCGTACTTTGGTCCCATGATGAGAAGACAAGAGTCCCTGGAAAAAAAACAATAATGCTAGGAAAAAATTGAAGGCGGCGGGAAAAGAGGAAGACCTCTAGGAAGAGGCTCTGGGAGAGTGCCCCGGCCATGGGCACTCAGTGTCAATTTGCTGTGGCGACCTCAACAGGGTATAATGACAGAGAGTCCACCATTTTCTCCTGGGAAACTGATCTCTGCCATCTGAAGAGCAGTTGTAATTCTGCGTGATCTCCAGCCCTCCCCTGGAGACTGGCAACAATGATTCCCCATGAGGGAATGGCTGGCTTGCAGGGTGTAGTCTATGGCATTGCACCTGTCTGAGGCCCCACCCCTCCTCAAACCTCATCCTCTCCAGGCTCCACCTCTCAAATCTCCAGGAATTTCTCAACCTGGAGTTGGCAACCCTATCTCCCTCCCATCCAATCATCAACCTACCATTAATTTGCCCCCTGGCTTCAGCTTTCCATGTCCTCCCCCTCCCTCCTAGAGAGCAGGTGTAATTCTGAGTGATCTCCAGCCCCCACCTGGAGATTGGCAAGAATGGTTCCCCATGAGGGAATGGCTGGCTTGGAGGGTGGAGTCTATGGAATTGTACCTGTCTGAGGTCTCCCCCCTCCTCAAACCTCACCCTCTCCAGGCTCCACCCCTCACATCTCCAGGAATTTCCCACCTGGAGTTGGCAACCCTATAACAGGGTTGCCAACTCTGAGTTGGGAAATACCTGTAGATTTGAGGGGTAGAGCCTGGGGAGGGACCTCAGCAAGATATAATGTCATAGAGTCCACTGCTCAAAGCAGCCATTTTCTCCAGGAGAACTGATCTTGGAAATCTCCAGGTGCTGCCTGGAGGTTGGCAATACCAAGGGGAGGGCCGAGTTTGTTGAAGGACTTCAGTGAGGTATAATGCCTGAGAGCTCACCCTCCTAAGCAACCATTTTCTCCTTGGGGACTGATCGCTGTAGTCTGGAGATCAATTGTATTTCAGAGGGATGTCCAGGCCTTCCCTTTCCCCCCAACCCCTTTCAGTTCCAAAGCTGCTTCCTGTTTAACACTCACTGTAACTGATTAACAGTTTAACTGACTCCCTGCTAATGCCTCACGGTCTCTTGGGACTCCCAGATTGAGAGTTGTAGTTCTAATTCAGTTTGTTATGGTTGCGGTAAGGCCA